GGTTTCTGCGGGGTCTGAAAGCAGGCGCTGCTCGCATGCAGAGCCGGTCTGTGCCTGGCGTGCAGCTTCTAGACCTTATTGTGCATCCTGTAGCCGAGTCGCCCCGTGTGTGGGGACTGGGGTGGAAAAGTCAGTGCTGGCCATCATGCCAAACAGCCACCGCTTCCCAGACTGAAGAGTGATCACACCGGGAAGCGGGGGAAGAAACAGTGATGGTAGAAGGGTAGCTAGTTGTTCACAGGTAATCTTCAGTATCCGTGTCCAGTGGTTAGTCCTAGAATTGCAAGCCTTGTTATATTGCACATGTCCTCCTTCCACTCCTCTTTTCTCAAAGCAGCCATCACCCTTCCTCCCCGCTGCCCCATGCACTAGTGACGAGCATCACAGGCAGTTGCACCAAAGTGACTCTCAGCCCAGTTCTGCACCCCCCCTCTCCCACCCAAGGCAGCCCGGACAGTTGTTGGTTGTTGGCCGTCACAACAGCACGGGGTTCTCTCCTCGTGTACCATAGCCTCCTCCACACCCACTCCAGCAGGGCAGTACAGGAGGCCCTGACCGTGTACCGAGAAGCTTCTTTTCCCCCCCGGCAGCACCTTGCAGACACGCACCTTACTGGGAATGTACTGGGTCGATGCTGGTGAGATCTGGCACTGCCGATCTTGCATAGGTGGCAGCTGATGGGGATCCACTGGGGGAAGCTGGCAGAAGGTGGCTACTGTCCCGTTTCTTTTCGTTTTTGAGGGAGAGGGGGATATTTTTTGGCATTATGATTATTGCCCACCTTCCAGTGGCCAAGTTCTGGGCTACATTAATAATTGGGGATCATTGGCTGTGCGGGCAGACATGGAGCTTCGCACCAGCCTTACTAGCAAATGTCGTGGATGTATCCAGAGCCTGGATATAGGCTGGGTTTCTCCCATGCTGGCAAAGTGCTCTCAGCAGGCTCCAGATACACATTTCTGGCAGACGTGGAAACAGCACTCCTCCGAGTCTGGATGAAATCTGCACTTCTGTCTCAAGTCCTCAGCTTGGAAAAAACTCAGCCCAAGCAATTGCTTCCCAGGTCTCCTTTCCCCTTGCGGTGCCTGGCACCCCAGGAGAGAGGTTAGCAGGAGGCATTGCAGGATCACCAAAACACAGATCCTTTTTGGATGTATTTCATGGAAATATCTTTTGGGAGGAGAGACCTCCTGACCTTTGCATTAATCTCGAGAGCAGGAGATGAATTTCTGGCTGTCCTTGCATATAGTGAAACATAGCTGAAACAGCCATATGCAAAGTAGAGTTAAATGTAGGGTTTGACCTGAATAACCTTTTAATTAGGAAGATAAATTCGTTGTAGCTTGACCTTAGTCCATGTTAGGAACCTGCTAATCATTTGACATGCAGAGTGTATTAATGCTGCACTTAACTTGGCCATTGGTTTTATTATCTGGTTTGGGGATTTTCGTCACTCCAGAAGCATCAATCTGCATCTTGTATGGGTTTTCTTTTCTTTCTTTTGTTTTTCCCGTTCAGAACATGTAGCACACTGTTGTACTTCTGTTCCCGTCTGCATAGAGTATTGCCTTAAACAGATCAGTTGTGTTGTGGTTTGGTTTGGGTTTTCTGTTTTCTACCATCAGTTTTGTGCATTAATTTATTTTAAAATGTGAGGGTTTTTTTCAAAAACATGAAACGTATAATTTTTTTTTTAACATTTCCATTGCAGTATTTATCATTGTTACTGGTTGTGTGTAGTGTAACAGAATTAATGATATTAAAAAGCATACATATGAAAACCAGCCTGCCAGCCTTTCTCATTGGAGCAAACTGGGGTCAGGGGGCACGAACTGCACCACCTCCTCTGGGCACCCAGCTGAAATCAGGGGGTGCCAGCCTTCATGCCATGGCCAATACCGGCTGGCTTTGGCACGGTAGAAGCG